TGGCCAATCTGGGCCGTGACCAATCTGGGGTGTGGCCGAGACATCTCGGCCGTGGCCAATCTGGGGTGTGCATGGGCCCGATACACCGTTTTTTTTTTTTTCTCTGCACGGCGTGGCTCATCGCTATCGGCCGAAAAAAAAAAAAAAAAAAAAAAAAAAAAAACTCTTTTTCTCCTTGCAGCCACGGCACGGCGTAGAAAAAAAGAAAGAATCAAAAAAACCACAACCGCCTTTCCGAACTCCGCCCTGACACCACTGCCGGCCTTGAGTTACGAAGGCCTTTTCTAACTCAGGCCCTGACACCGTCGCCGAAGGCCTGTTTTTTGTGCCTTTAGGAACTCAAAACATGCCGCGTCCGCCGTTGTTTCTTTTTTTTTCCCCCCTTTGCCCTGGTTCTTCTTCTTCTTCTTTTTTTTTTTTTTTTTTTTTCTTACACGAATTGCCCTTATGTGAACCCTCTATCCCGGCGGTGGTAAGAGAACCGTCAGGATTGAGGGTTTATCTGTCGGGCTGCTCCATCTATTGGTGGGGAGCGGCACCTGCTGGAAACCGGGTCCAGCCTCCCATTGATACATCTTATGACAGGAAGATCGCTGTTTGTTGTTTCCTGCGGGTGTGGGTTTTTCCTTCTCAGACTCGAGTCTCCGTTGTCCCATGGAGCTGCTAGTGATTCCCCTTCATAATCTCGCTCGTGTTTCGTTTATGACAATCTGGTCCCTAACATGGTATGTTTGATGTGTGCTGGCTGCTCCCCCTTCTTCGCTTTTGACTGGCAGGTTGGCAATAACCTTCTTTCACAAGGCGACACTACGCTTGCAACCTCGCTGATTCCCGCAATGAAGAATTTACAGCTGGCTCTCGTTGCAGCTGGTCTAAGCGAGACCGTCAAACTCGTCACCCCCATTAGTTTAGATGTCCTCACCGGGGGGTATAATCCCCCCAGCAGTGGGGCATTTAGCGAGTCGTCCCTGCCCGTAATAACCCCACTGCTGGAGTTTCTAAATTCAACAGGCTCCAGTTTCATGGTGGATGCCTTCCCATTTTTCGCCGCCAAGGACCCAGCGCAAGGGGTCGACCTCTCTTTCGCCTTGGGCGCTGCAGAAGCAGCCCCGYTGGTCGACAGCGCCCTGACATACACGAACGCGATGGACATGATGGTGGATGCCGTGGCCTACGCCATTGGGAAGCAGGGGTTCTCTATGGTSCYGATCTCGATCGGGTCGACCGGGTGGCCAACGCAGGGAGACGCGATCGCGACCGTGGCCAACGCCGAGAAGTTCAACAAGAACCTGGTCGGGAATCTGGTCAGTGGGAGGGGGACACCAAGGCTTCCAGGAGTTTCCATGCAAGCCTACATCTTCGAGTTGCTGGACGAAGACAACAAGAGTTGGGGCCCATCAGAGACCGACCTCTTCGATCGTCATTGGGGTATTTTTGACTTGGTGGGAATAGCCAAGTACGAAATTTATTTGTCAGCCCCCGTTGCTGCTGCCAGTCCATCACATGCAACCCCAACTCCACCTACCACCCCTGTCGACTCCACAGCTCAACCTTCCGCCCCCTCTCTTTCCATCACTCCACCTCCTGTGGACTCTACACCTCCACCTGCAAACCCCTCTGCTCCCGTTAGTACCCCCCCTGCAGACCCCTCTGCTCCAGCACTTGTACCTGCAGACCCCTCTGTTCCCGTTACCCCCCCTGCAAACCCCTCTGCTTCCGCAGTCGTACCTGTAGTAGTCTCCTCTGCTCCCATTAGTACCCCGCCTGCGAACCCCTCTGCTCCAGCACTTGTACCTGCCGACTCCTCTGTTACCACTACTCCACCTGCAACCCCCTCTGCTGCCTCAAATGCCACTAACCCTCCTACGATTGACCCCTCTTGCGTTCCGGGCAATCCGGCAATTGCGCAAACTGGAGGTGCGGGGACTTACTGCGTCGCCAATGACTGTGCAGCGGAGAGCGTGTTATTAGATGGGCTTAACTGGGTGTGCGAGACCACGGACTGCAGCCCCATTAACCCCGGAGGAACCTGCTTCGAACCCAACACTACTGTGGCACACGCTTCCTGGGCCTTCAACTTAAAATATGTGAGCGCTTTGAGAGACAAAGGGCAATGCTACTTTGGTGGGAGCGGCTTGATCGTGGATGTGAACCCATCTGTGGGGACCTGCACTTATGGGTGAAGAAGCTGTACAGACACAATGGCATCTAGGTTGGGAGCCAAAAGGGGTGGGGCCCGTGGCAGGGAAGGGGGTAAGTAAAATATTGAATCGGTCCAAATGTACCTGGTCAATTCTCTGTCCAGATACGTGTCGAATGTTGTGTACGGGAGCCAGGCCCATGGCTATTTTGCTGGGAGTGGCTTGATCGTCCATGTGAACCCATCTGCCAGTACCTGCACTTATGGGTGAAGCTTTACAGACACAATGTCATCTAGGTTGGGACCGAAAAGGGGTGGGGGCGGCCGCAGCAGTGAAGGGGGTTTAGTAATTACAATGTAGTGAGGGGTAAATTGAGGTCCCAAAACATTCAAAGTATTGAGTCAGTCCAAATGTACCTGGTCCGTTTTCTGTCCATATACATGTAGAATCTTGTGTATTGGGCCCCATTGCTCTGGCTTGGATATTACAATGTGTACATTGGACTGATTAAAGTCCATCCTGCATGTAACTTCCCCCCCCCCACCCACCAGAACTACGCTGTATTCTTCTCTCGAGGCACTATGCTTGCAGGGGTCCCCTCTATATAGTCCCCTCTAAGTAGTCTAGTAAAAAAGAATTTAGAGGGGACTACATAGAGTAGTGGTAGGAACTAGGAAGGTTGCCGTAGTGAAAGGCAAAAATAATTTCAGAGAAGAATATAGTGTAATAAAAAAAAAATAATAATAATAATGAAAAAACAAACAAACAAAGATCTTTCATCATAATTATTATCTGTCACTCGAGTGTTTTTTTTTTTTTCATTCGATTGTCGCATACTATGCCTAGTTTGCGCATTTATACAAGATTTCAGTTCTTTAAATTTATGAAAAATTAGCAGAAAATAACTCATCAAACCCATGGTTTCAACTTGTCAAGAACACTAAGCTGAGCGCCCGCGGTGCAGGCGGTGCGGGCTACACTATCCGTCAAAGTACTTACACAGACTCAAATGGACTTCTTTTTCTTCAAAGTTAAGAACATCTTTTTTTAAGTTTTTTTTTTTTCAAGTTACCTTGGGGGGAGGGGGGGGGGCGGGTCAGACTTGGATCTGTATCTTGCTTCACCACACACAAACGCCACCTAAGCTTGCTTTCACATCCAAAAAAAATGTACATGTATGTTTACAGATTGCAAAACTTTACTTTCATGCGCATTTCTTAAACTCAAACAATATATTCTAATAAATATTTCAGATTATCCTTTTTTTTTTTTTTTCCCAAGTAGTAGAGGCCCGCCCCCCTCCAACACACACACACATTGGACTTGAGTCGGTATTTTGCTTCACCAAATCCAAAACCTGCAACCGGCTACTATGAAATGTGCATAAACATTTCTTTTTCTAGTAGAACTTGTAAAAGTTAAAAATATACTTTTCTTCAAGTCACGTCGGACTTGGATCCCTACTTTGCTTCGCCACACAAAAAACCCGCACAGCGCCCACTAAGCCGGCCTACCGCGGAGTTCGAAGTTCCCTATCTTCCGGCTAACTTTGTCCTGGTCTCGAGTGACCCCCTTGTCCGCCCCCTCACCCGCCCCTGCCACAGCGTCCACCCCGTTCCGCCCTCTCCAACTTCGTCGCTTCATCTGCCCCCTTGACCCCCTTCACCCCCTGTGCCCCCCCCTTCCCCCCTCCCCCCCTTCTCCCCCCCACCCCTTCTGTCTTAGTCAGGGGCATCGCTGATGAGGTGCAAGACGCCAGGAACATCCCCGGTAATACCAGAGTGGGGATCGAGGGATAGCTTCAACTGAAACATGGACAAACTGCAACGATGGCGGACAAGAGAAGGCACAAGACCCAGGCCAATCGAAGGGAGCAGACAGTATGGACGTTTCCCCAGACACACACGTGGCTGACCGGGGCACACTGTGAATATATCTCCTTCTGATACTCGATTGCCAATGGCTAAAGCAGCGCTGGTTGACACACAAGTAGTAGAGCCATGAGAGAGAGACATTGCCACCTCATAATGCTTCGACAGGGATTTCTACCTCAAGGACACCCTGGGAAGGGGAGAGATGCATTCCACAATGCATAGGATCTTCCTTTCAAGAGCTGTCGGGGTTCGTCTCTCCGGCAATAAGAACAATAGTTTAGATGTTGACAGAATAGCTAAAGCAATACGGGGCACTTGGGGGCTGCAGACACCTGGGATAGTGGCCCGTCGTTGGCAACAGTGGGAGAAGCATAGGATTCGTGAAAACCTAACAAAACAAATTGTTAGTTTGCACGAAATCTATTCAAGATTATGATAGTACGTTTTTCAGGTCTCCTCCAGGAACAAAATTCTACGTGAAGTGAAACATCCACAAAAAAAAGAACAAAGAATTGATTTTTCAGAACTACTGGAGGGGGCGAGGAAAAAAACGGGTTTTTTCATACAAAATCACAACCAGGTGAAGCACCGTAGGTTCAAGAACTCAAATATCCTGATCTTTTGTTATAAAAAAAAAATGTGTTTATAGTCCTATAAGATGTGTAGCACGATGAATTTATTCGGGGGGTTTTCGAACATGCAAACATATTCTCTTGTTCGTGAATACGTTCGCTTGAACATGGTTTCCCATACATGGGCGAATATACGATTTTTTATTATTTGTTTTAATTTTTTTCCCTATATTTTTATTTTAAACTCGCGTTTGGCTAAGAATTTCAAGGTGTCTCCGAGGAAAAAGTTGTTTGTATTCTTATTTTAAATGACATATATTTTTTGATAAGGGTTTTATTGTTAAGTTCAAAAGTGATTTATAGTCAGTCCTATAAATTATTTTGTGCAGAGTTTGGCTTTTACCTAACTGCGGAAACTCACTTATAGTCTTATAAATGAGTATTCACCAAAACACGTTTTTTTTACATCTTTCAAGTTTGCCTTGTCATCCTTAAAAATTACCCTGTTTGAACTCTGTTTTTTTGTCAATCTTCTTAGAATGACTTATAGTCATATAAAAACATTTTGCAAGGAAGGGTTTTCTTGCACATTTTGAGGAACGCTAGACTTTTCACCTGATTTTGCCTCCTTTATCGCAAAACGATAAAAAACTCTTTCTTTTTGTGTAAGAAATAACAGTTTGACTTTTACTTTTTCATTCTATAAGAAATGTTAGTTTTTTTTCCGATTGTGAGGTTTTCACAAATCCCCTGTTGAGAGTAGATTCATGTTAGAAAGAAAGGGTGGGCGGGTTCCCGGGGGGCACTTGGTCATCTGTAAGTAAGAGTTAATCAATGGGATTGGGAGACATGCAACCCAGAGGGATAGAGAGAAACTCCGGAGTGACAGCCTCATGACCAGATGCCTGAACGCTCATTGTACTGCAAAGTTGTATGTGTGGGACGCTGGACCCGTTTTCCAGTAGGTGCTGCTCCCCACCAATAGATGGAGCCTCATGGGTGGTGCTAGGGGTGCCTGATCTTATCAGCGCTCCTAGCATCTACCCAGGATGTGTTTTGATAATAATAATTAAAAAAAAAAAAAAAATGCGCATAAACTTTTTTTATTTTAATATATAGTTTAGAATATCCATTCCCTTTTTTTTCTTCAAGTTGTTGAGATCGGACTTGGATCCATATCTTCCTTCACCACACACAAAATCCACACCTTGGCTGCTAAGAAGTGCACATGAACATTTTTAGTAATAAAGAGTTAAGAATATCCATTCTAATATTTTTTTTTTAGTTGTGGTGGGACCCTCCCCCTCTACACCCCGCTCCCCCACACTGGACTTGGATCCATATCTTACTTCACCACACACAAAACTTGTACAGCAGCCTCTAAGAAATGCACAAAACATTTTTTTTTCCTTTAACTAGTTAAAAATCTGAACATTGCAGGCCCATGGACTTCATTTTGATCTTTCTAGGAGAAATATTTAAAGTTGCATACCACAGCGAACATCGCGGTCCTTCACGCTTGCTTGTTCGTGCGAACGACTCGCGAAATGGTGGGGGTCGCGGGGGTGGTTGGAATGGTAAAGGGGGTCAGAACCAAGGTGGTCGAGGTGGCCAGGAGGGGGGCCAAGGGTATGGGAGGCCCCGCTTTGATTAGCGAAACGCCACCTGCTAGCATTGTGGTGAAATAGGCCACACTATACGGTTCTGCCAACGGCGACGAGATGATGAGTTGGCGGGGTTGGTTTCCTCTTGCATGAACGGGGACATATATGATAAGTGGGGGGATCATATCGACCCCAGGACCCCGGGAGGAATCAGGCAAGAGGCTCTTAGGCGAGCAGCGGCAGGGCCATCGGCACCCCCGACCATGTTCAGGATGTGGCAGGAAAAGGAAGAGCCGACCATAAGAGTTGAGGAGATTGTGGGGGATAGTGAGGAGGTCACTCAACGACTAAAGGCGGGGACTACAAGGGAGGAGACAATAGTCGTTGAGTCGGATGACGAGGGGCGGGAAGATGAAGGAGAGTCGGTCATGGTCATCCTGGGGAAGATGGAAGATCTGTTGGAAAAGGTGGGAAGGTACCAGCGGAAGCTGCAGACCCTGTGTAAAAAAGYCCGAGAGTGGGAGACCAACCTGCCTGAGGTCTTCCTTTACGATTCCGGACCTGAGCCTTCGTCAGGGCGGCAGGGGTGTCCAAGAATTGTGACCGTGGGGACGGGCCCTAGGTCGGGTATGACCTATAGGCCCCCCACGTCGCATGGGAGGGTGCCACAGGCGGCACGGACCAGGAGCCAAAACAAGGTCGGGCCTAGCCAAGAGCCCAACCAAGCACCCAGTCAGGCACCCCCTCGAAAGGGGCCCGAGCCAGGGCGTAGGGAGGAGGTGGTGGAAGTCCCGGAGGAAGAGGATGAGGGTGACGATGAAAAGGATGAGAGGCTCCGGCAATAGGAGGATCAGCGAGCGGAGCTAAGGGCCAAAAAGAGAGGAGCCCGGGAGGAAGCCGAGCCAAGCCTGCCCGACATCGTACCCAAGAGAAAGAAGTACGYGGTCTGGATGGAGGAAGGCTTCGATATGGAGTGGATGGTGGACAGGCTCCTGGAGGGCCATAATGATCTAATGAATCTGAAGGACATCTTAGCGTCAGCCCCAAGGCTCCGAGGTGAATTGAAAGGGCGTCTCTCGAGGAGGTTGGTACCCAATGTYCATCTGAGSACGATCCTGCCGAGGGAGGTAGAGTGGATTGAGGCACGAACTAGGATGGATTGGAAGTGTGTGGCGTGCGGACAAGGGATCTGGTGATAAAGAACCAGAARTGCACTGGGATGGTGGAYACGGGYGCTGAGATGAACATCATCAGGGAGAAGGAGGCGGTGATGATGGGGATCGAGATTGACCGTTCGGACCACGGCATGCTGCACGGTGCTAACTGTAAGGCCGCCTTTTATGGCACGGCGTCCAATGTGATTATAGAGATTGGGAAGGTGCGGGCAAGGACGTGTGTTTTCGTCATGCCCGATGTCGACCATTTCATCCTCCTGAGGAGGTCGTTCTTGTGTACAACCGAGATGTTAATCTTCAACAAGCACGACAGGACAATGATCCTACTCCTATGTAACCCAGCGTGCGGGAACTACGAGGTTATCACCTGCCGAAACACGGGCCCGGGGAGTGGAAGGAATAGGCCTAACCTCGGCTCGTTCACCTTTGAGGAGTCGGAAAATAAGCGAAGGAGGCTTTGGGAGACACCCGAGGAGGAAGACAAGGCCGAGGTACTGACACTTAGCCTCACGGATGTGAACAAGGCCATGGCGGTGGTGTCGGCTCACGACATGGCGGATCCGAAGGCCATTAAGGCATTGAGGGAGCAGGTTTTGGAGAGCCCTCAGGTGGGAGAAGTGGAGTTGGTATATCGGTTTCCAGGAGGAAGGGGAGGCCCTGCAATGGCCCAGGCCCGAGCGAGAAGTCGGCCTTTTTTAGGGGAGGGCTTAAGCAGGGTTCCCAAAGGCGGTACAAGACCGTAGATAAGAAGTGTCGCCCAGTTTCCGTACTCGTTACAGAGGATGAGGAAGCCTACTACGAGCGGGAGCGAGGATTGATACGGCGTATGCGGGAGCTCGCGTTAGCCGGGCCGTGCCGTATCAACGACGAGAATGAGGGGAAGTTGATAATCGGGGAACCCGATTTCCTGTCGCCCCAGGAGAGAGCATTGATGGTGGGGCTGATGAAGAAAAGGCACTGCGCGTATGCGTTCAATGACGACGAGCGTGGGAGACTGGATGTGGTGAAAAACCCCGTTGATCCGGATCCACACGGTCCCACACGATCCATGGAATTTAAGGGGCGCAGTACCCCAATCCGGACGAAGAGAAGATGGCGGTGGACTACTTGGATGGCAAGATGCGCACGCACGTCGCCGATTATTCTAGTGGGCCGTATGCGTCGCCTTGGTTCTGCTTTATCAAGCCAAATGGGACGTTGCGATGGGTGCAGGACTTACAACGGTTAAACGCCGTAACAGTGCGGCAAGGGGGGGGGTTGCCGAATGCGGACGCATTATCAGAGTCGTGCGCAGGGAGGCCTATAATCTCGCTTATAGACCTCTACTCAGGATACGACCGATTCCCCGTATACCCGCCAGATCGGCCCGTAACGGCGATGCACACACCTAGAGGGATGATTCATATGAACGTGGCACCTCAAGGTTGGATGAATGTGGTGGCGATGGTGCAAAGACATATGATTAGAGCCATGGAGACGGTTAGTCCACATATCACCCAGCCCTACATCGATGACCTGACGGTCAAAGGCCCAAAGGAGAAGGAGGAAGACGAAGTGATGCCTGGAGTGAGGCGCTTCGTCTGGAAGCACGTTCATGACATTGATCAGGTCCTGAGGTTACTGGAGGAATATAACCTGACAGCGAGCGACCCTTAGTCAAAGCACTGTATGAAGGAGGCCACGATTCTAGGTTTTGTCTGTAACGAGAGCGATGTAAAGAAGACAGCCAAGATCATTGAGTGCCCAGTGCCTTTCCGCTCGATAACAGACGTAAGGAGTTTCCTTGGGACATGCGGATTTTGGAGAAGCTTCGTGAAAAATTTTGCCGCGAAGACAGTGCATCTAAGGAAGTTGGTGCGTCAGGACCAGGAGTGGGTTTGGGGCAAGGACCAGGAAGAGGCAGTCGGTAGGATGAAGGGAGAGTTTAAGGAAGGGGGCTTGGTATTGGGGGCACCAGATTATGAGGCTACGGAGGAAAGACTGTTCGTCATCGAGACGGACGTTGGGCCAACCGCCTTGGGAGGAGTCCTGTTTCAGGCAGACACTGAGGGGAAGGAGAGGCCGCTAAGGTTCGAAAGCCGTACCCTTAATACGACTGAGAGGAACTACTCTCAGTTCAAGAAGGAGACGCTAGCGGTGCTCCACTACTTGAGGACCTTCCGAAACTACGTTTTCGGCAGGAGGCTCATTTTGAGGGTGGACCCTACGGCGCTTGCATGCTCCTTGAAGAATTATACTCCATCTGACCCAACCATCGCAAGATGGTTGACCTACATTTGGATGTTTAATTTTGAGCTGGAAAGGATTCCAGAGAACAAGAACAGGGCAGATAGGTTGAGCCGCATCAACTGGGACGGATCGGGCCAAKAATCAATAGAAGACGCGCCGCCAGTTGATGGGTTCCTGGATCAAGAGGAGGACGTTCGCCTGCATATAAACGAATGGTCTCTGCGAGTACCCAGTTGCGTCAGTCATCCCATATGGCTAGCGCCGAAGGGGTATGAGCAGAAGGAAGAGTTAGTCCTCAAGCCCTTTCAGGAGGAGGATCCGTGGGGAAGCAAAGACGTTGGCTGGATGATGAAGTTGGCATTGGCAGGTACGCACAGTTTAGTGGAGAAAGTGAGGACGATAGAGGAAGGTCCCACTCAGGTAGAGGAGCATGAACAGTTGATGGGAGGGATGTATCTGCTCACCAATACGCTCTTGCAAGGAGATTTCGATCGGAGGGGCTAGTTTAGTCATGAGGAAGGTGAAATTCTAGTTCCTGAGCGCCAGGACGATGAATTAGAGGAGGGAGAGATTAAGGAGGCGTTTCGGGCAGAGGAGTATGATGAAATCTACCGGGAGTTGGGGCTGCTTCTATCATGTGAGATAAGGGATAGAGATGCAAGTGCCAAGGCACAGAAGATGAGGCACCTCTATGTGGTAAGGGATGGCCACCTGTTTATAAAGCGGCAAGTCGGGAACCCCAAGAGGATCGTATGCGGGAGGAACCGACAGATTGATATTATAGCAKCCCTACACRATGGTATAGCAGGAGGGCAYAGAGRAATAGGTGYCACATGTGCGAAGATAAGCGAGCTCTACCATTGGGATGRGATGCTGACAATGRTCATTAAGTACTGCCAATCTTGTKTACCTTGTCAGGAGAGGTCARCGCAARGGCCGGRAGAGCCCCTGCACCCAAGGTTGGAAAGGGAAGTGGGTGCGGTTGTACACYTGGACCTGTTGTTCATGCCAGTTGGAGAGAATGRGTGTAATTACATCTTCGATGCACGGGGCAACCTTACTGGGTTTGTGGACGGTCGGGCTATCCGGACAAAGACTGACCCAGTTTTGRCAAACTGCATCGAGGAGTATTACCTACGCTATCCCTTTGTCAAGAAGTTCGTGATGAATCGAGGATCGGAATTTACGAACCTTGCTTGCAGGGTATGGAGTAATAGCCAACTATACTACGGCCGCGCACCCTCAAGCGAACGCTTCTGTGGAGAGGGGGCACAGTACCATCATGAATCTCTTGGCTAAGTGGACAGAGGGCAAGCCTGGTTAGTGGCCTAAGTTCCTACGAGCGGCTTTCTTCGTAGAAAACGTTATAGTAAAGGGGACTACCAAGTATGCGCCGGCCACGCTATGGTACGGGAGGCACGCCACCTTTCTCATAGAATGCTTTATGAAGACGTGGAGACGCCAGGACTTGGAGGTGAACCTGTCTTTCGAAGAATTGCTCGATATTCGAGCGTGGCAAGTGGGGGCGGCCGAAGAAAGATTGCGAGAGGCCATTGGTCGGATAGAGAGAAGCCGCATGGAAGATAAAATGAGGTGGGACCAAATGGCGGGAGTAAGGAAGGAACCGTTGGAAGTGGGGGATGTTGTGTTGCTGTACGAGTCCTCTCTGGAGAAGCAATGGTCGAGGAAGCTCGACAAGAGATGGATGGCCCCCTATAGAATCTTGCGATGTGGCGAATTTGGGGCCTATCAGATCGAAGAGCTGGACGGAACAGGCTGGCAGGATTGGGTGTCAGGAACCAGGTTGAAGAAGTTCGTGGCCAGGGAATAGGTAAAGATTACCACACTCTTAAGAATAAACTAGTCCTTGAGGTGTTGCATACTATGGAAGGCCAGGTGAGAAAATATGGAAAGGGCATGTATGTTATCATAAAACTCGATGGGCGGAAGGCTAACATTTGTTGTGCGCGTGTTTGCTTTCTCTCGCCTGTTGTGCAGGTTTGACTTTCCGAAGATAGCCATGCAGAGGGGCGGGAGGGGCGCACGGCCACGACAGAGACCTCAGGGAGCGTCAGGAGGGGATGACTCGCACACACCATCCGGGAGAGAGTCCACGCTTGTCTTCGATGATGGTAACATAGAGCTCTTTCTAGACGCCTACCAGGCTCATGTGACACGAGAAGGATGGTCCGCCTTGGAGAGGGTACGGCATCTGAGGGGAGTTGGGCGCTTTGAGGAGCCTATCACGCATATCCGGGAGGAGGCTTTGACCTGGCAGGATGAAGAAACGAGGATGTAGATGCTGAGGGCTTTGCCGTTGGGACGAGATGGGCTGCCTATTCGTCTGGAGGAAGGCAATGTAGAGGAGTTTATCCCAGCCTATGAGCAGTATATGCGCCACCAGGGGACTGGGCAGGAGGAGTGGATGCAAACGTTACCCCTCTGGACGCGGAGGGCGGAGAGGCCATTGGCGAGACAGATTCGGGACAGGGCGCGTGATTGGGAGGACTGTCAGGCTCAGCTGAGACAGGTGTTTCGACGACCAGAACCCGAGAGACCTTAGCCCATGGTGGAGAGGCGACAGAGGAGTAAGAGGCCACGGGATCCAGAGGCAAGAGGGGATACCACGACTAGGGGAGGCTGAAAGGCCTTGGCACATCGAGAGGGGCCAACGGAACCCGCCCAGACGGTGAAGCCAGTTCAAGTCGTAGGGCCTGCCCAGGCAGCGGAGCTACCCCCTATTCGCGAACTTGAACAGGTGGAGTTTCGCCGGATCACGGGCAGTGACCTGCGAGGCCCGTCGCCGACACCGCCAGAGGAAAGGGAAGTCGTACCGTCGAGGACGCCGCTCGACAGCCTGGAGGCCCACCTAAATGCGTCCCGGTGGAGGACGTCGCAGCAGGGAGCGGATCAGAGCGGGCCAGTGCGGTACGAGCCAGCAGAGGATGAGCCAAAGGCGGGGCCGCGTGGGCCAGAGGGGCCGCGGACTGGGGGGGTTATTACTGTTAGGGACGATACCCCTCCTCCTGCCCCAATCCCGGAGCGGGCACCGCAGTATTGGCCTGAGGGAGTCCCCGAGCCGGAAAGCGAAGAAGCTCCAATACCTCCATTGGGAGCTACTACGCTGCCTCCGACGCAAGCAGGGCCGAAGGGGCGAGAGGGGAGCGAGAGAGCAAGGACAACTGCTACTGTGACACCGCAATTAGCTGAGCATACGGTTGAGCCCCCGGACACTGAGATGCTGACATCCGAGGAGCCACTGCCAGAGCTGTCACACGCTTTGAAGGGGGTGAATGTAGGGGTTCCACTACGGGAGGCCCGCAAAACGCAAGCAGAGAGGCCACTAAAAGAGACGGCGGAAGAGAAGCACGCAAGGGTACAAATGCGTCTTGAGGAGATATACCAGGAGAAGATTAGGATGGAAGCCGCAGGGGAAGCGCCGAAGCCACCAATCGACCCTCTGACGAGCGAGCAGAGAATTCACGAGGTTTGGACTGATTACGAGGGAAAGAGGGATAATGCCCGCTTGAGGTCGCAAGAGGCGGGGCAGGAAAACGCGAGGGTGGATGAGGCACGAGAGACTGGGGACCTGGGGTTCTCAGCCACCTGGATGACGATTGAGCGGGCAGATAGGAGGATACGTGAGGTGGCGGTCTCGTCCTTCCTGCGGTACTCCATGCTTAGTGATGAGTTGGTGGCTTCGAGGTTAGAGGTGGAGCAGTTGTCCACCCAATTGATGGAAGAAAAGGCAGAGAACCAAGCGTGGAGGTCCCACATGGAAGCCAAGGAGGCAGAATGGGAGAGGAGGCTCCAGGACATGGCAGCGATGGTGAAGAGGCTCTCGGCCACTAAGATGGTCGACTGGACGGAGCAGAGCCAGTATGGTATTCAGGGGAAGGAGGTACAGGGGCTCTTTGGCCAGGAAGGAACGACAGAGACGCCACAGCAAGAAGGAGTGGGGAAGGTGTTCCTGGACCCAACAGAGGCGGCAGCAAGGCGGGAGGCCGAGGAGAGGAGGTTCAGCTTCAGGACTCCCACGAAGTTGGCCTCCCAACAGGCCACCCTTATGACGATTAAGACTCCTGAGGACGAGCCGGCGCAGAGACCCCAACCTCTAGTGACGGCCACCTGTCGGGCGCTTCGGTCCGGCACTGCATGTGGCAGCGCGGGACCCTCTCGGCCGCGTCACGCAGGAGTTGGACCAACCTTGCCGCGAACACACAAATGAAGCTTCCTTAGGCCGCTCCGACCGAGTGCGCCAGCCATACCTCTCGCGAGCCCCTACGACAGGATAGCGCCTACGCGAGGCACAACTTACCTCCACCTTACGGGAGCTGTYACCTCCCCTCGGTGGGCGTATCCCCGCCGAGCTACCAGTCCACAGTACGAAAGCTAATCAATTGCAATCGCAGAGGTGGACCAGCCGAGGGTGTTTCTCGTTTGCTGTAGCATAGGGGGTACGCGCGGTAATACGCCTATCGGGCCCGCACGCGGACCGACATCTTGGGGGGCTGAAGTCCCAAGCGTGGCTCGTCGTCGGTCGACTAGGACGCATCCCACACACCACGCGCACATCACTCTATGAACATAAAAATAAAACACACATACACACACACACACACACACACACACACACACAACACGACACAACACAAACGACACGACAACGTATCTAGCCCCTTCGGTAGCCAACCCATAACTTTCCAATGCGGAAAATCGGATAGGCATTGTGCGCTAGACTTAATATAAAACCGCGCAGACGCAGAGTCTTCTCATATCGACTAGTAATACACTCATGCGCAAGCAGTCGCAGTCATGGCGTACTATGTAGTACCCATACTCAGGCGTTCCTCGTTAATCTCGAGGGTCGCGTTTGTCGGCTGACACGCGCCTTGAGGATTGATCTCTCGACGCTAGACAACCGCCATGCGCGGTTGAAGACCACACACCCTCTTCTGCACCCTTGTGCATTGCGGGTGGTACACAGGTCTAAAACCAGTGGTGGGGGTCGTCTCTCGCGGCCCTGGGGGTAAGCCTCCCCCGGGCCTGGGCGAAAGTCAAGGGGTTTGACTTTGACGGTTGCCACGGACTATAACGTCCAACCATAATAATCCTTAAAAAACAAACAAAACACACACGAAAACAGAAAGAGGGGATAGGGCAGAGACCCCCTTGCTAAAAAGGGACTCATGACCTTTGGGTACCCTTCCCCTCTACGGATGGTGCCGGCGGCCTACAATAATCCCAAGCGTTGCGCCTACGTGCGAGCCCGACGATCCCATAACTTTTAGACGTCAGGGCGACGAAACGTCACGCGCAGGACTCTAACATAAAGCTGCGCGGCCGCAGACCAATTCTATGCCAACCACCGATGCCAATCGTACGTGGTAATCGCGGCTCCGGCCTCGCGATATTGAATGACTGAAGGAACACATCGCGAGGGGTCACCCCTCACGATATTGAACGGTTGAAGGACACGCCGTTCGACCCTCGCGACATTTCCGCCTTCAAGGTGGGGTGTCTCGCCGGCCAAAGTTAATAGGCTCTGTGCGACGGAAAACCCCTCCCCAGCAGAGTCTAGGGCTTGGGATGTCCTGGACAAGGACCTGAATCCCGGTCCAGGACCAACGTCCGACTAAGAAAGCCTCAAGATGCAAATAGGCAGAGGGGAGGGTCTTCCCTACCCCTTGACCTCGACCTTTAAACGGGTTTTTAACATGGGTCTCTTAGGCCTCTCAAATATCCATTATAAGCACACTCACCCATACACGCATAAGGGAGTTAGAGTTGCGACGATCACTTCTCACATGCACTGTGGGACTCCTCGCAACCATGTATATGTATATGTGATCGCAGGCAATCCAAATCCAAAATCCGACCCACGGGACATACCTGTAATCACACGAAGAGTCGAACGACAAAACACGCACTACACGGAGTCAACCCCAACCAGTCTCTATGCTCATACCCCTTCGCTTTAACCATGCTAGCCCCAATCGCCGATCCAACCAACCTCAATTAGGTACTTAGTACCTTCGTTAAATGACCATTCAATAAAAGTCCGGGCATAACCCTTAACAAACAGTAAAACCACCAGGGCTAAAGCCTTTTAGGTTGGGTATTGAGAGTGAGTTGGAATTGAGTCGAGGACCGACGAATCGGCAACCGACCTGTTATCAGTGATAACAGAAAACAATCCGTATAGCATCAAGCTGACGCTAGCCCAAATCCTGAATCGAATGTCCAAAAGAGGCCAATACCATGAGACAGGTCAATTCTCAAACTAAAACATCAACATATGGGGTATAAACCTCCATAACACATTCTCACTCAAAGTTATATGTCAACCAAGTCCAGGCGCACCTCTAAGCTAGTGCCAAAAACAAAGGTAGACTAATGGCAGAATCTCCCCTATTCAGGGTGGATTGCCAGAATCGCCACCTGTCATAATATAATCTAACTCCTCTAAATCAAGAAAATTTCGACAATGCTTCACGTAGAAAAAATGTCTTTTCATAATTTATATTAGCCCAAATATAAACCCAGAAATAGTCTTTGACTTTCCAAAGTCCAATTTTGTCTAACTCCTTGATTTAGTAAAAATTTGGGCAACACTCCCTTTAGAAAAGGAAACTTTCCAGATTTTTACTAAGTCGTATATGAACTTTAGACAGGATGACTTTGAAAGGTAAAACTTTGACTAACTCTTTGGATTTGCAGAAATTTCGGCAGCGCTTCCCGTAGAGAAAGTAGCTTACCAAAATTTATACAAAGCTAAATATAACAAAAGATCCCAGAAAATGCGAGAATTGACCTAACTCCTATCGTTCTAGCACGTGGCGAGCCTCTAAAGCAACTACCTGTCAACCTGAAACTCAAACCAAGTAGTAATCTCACTCGGCCACATGCAATGCCAAACCACAAGGGTAAGTACTCTCACCAGCCCCAAGTTAACTTAGCAAGCAATAGTTCGTGTCTTCTAAGTAAGTTACCCATTATACCCACACTTTCATAAGGCGTAAAGTCAGGCCATCCAATCTTATGGAACATGCCTGACCCAACCATCAAGTATACACAAACAGGTTGCATAAGTACTTCTCTCTTCCTTTTGGGCATATGACCAAGCCGTTCATCTTAGAAGCAAGGCTTAGTCGCCCTGAACTGTTTAATATCCTGCTTATATATACCTCTCTGAACTTGGTGTTCAAACGCTGGACATATGACTGAGCCGTTCATCTTAGAAACAAGGCGCAACCTGCCCAAGGTTACCTTCAGTTATACTCTTAGTTATACTCTCTTCAAGTTGTGACATGCTATAGTCAGACCATCCAATCTTATGGAACCCATGCTTGACTAGCCTGTTCATAGATATAATAATATAAACATATAGCCAAATTTTAACCTTTTGGGTTCCAGCATATGCGAGGCATTGGGCCAGACCATCCAATCTTATGGAACATGTCTGGTCCTCTGCCAGGTTCATTTTCTCTCTGGTCAGACTGTGTGCGGCATGAGTTCAAGGCCGTCCAATCTTATGGACGTGCCTTGCCCCTAGCAATAATTATCCCCTCAGAGTAAAACAGGATGAGTTCAAGGCCGTCCAATCTTATGGACTTGCCCAGACCCTCTCGATCTGAAACAAAAGAAACAAAACAAACTCCAACCAAACATGGCAACCAAACCCTCCAATCTTATGGTAGAGGTTTGACCCATGAAAAGTCAACCACAGTCAAAACCTCACAATTCAGACCAATCAGACCATCCAATCTTATGGAACTTAACTGATTCTCAAGGCAATCTCATAGCACCGAGTCTCCCCAAACTTATGGGGACCTCTCAACCCCAAAGCATTCAGGCCACCTAAACTTATAGAGCGGCCTGATGCCCCAAGCAAAAATGAAACGCAGCTGTCAGGCCATCCAAACTTATGGAACATGCCTGACCCCATAGGACCCTGTCAGCTTTAGGCAAAACCACCTTTCACCCACCCTTCCCCCAAATGCAACCCCTTCGTGTTCACAGTTTGCGTTTAGACAATCAACAAACTGAAACTGTGATTTCACATACATTCCTTTACTTAGTCTGAGTTGTATCGTGTCCGTCAAACCAAAGTCAAAATAAGGGTACACGCAACATACTCAGTCAAACATAGTAAGATGTACAAGTAGGGGTTATACCAGGGTATATTGAGGGGAAGCAATGGTTACCTTTCAATTCCCTGCCTCCAGAGCCTCGCCTAGGCTCTGGCAGAGCTCCCGCAATCGGTGGGGCGAGCCTCTAAAAAAGGCCTTGGCGAGGATTACGGGTTGCAATCCCGCCTGCCGCCTTCCTCTCCGAACCAACAGACTAGACTTAGAGGAAGAAGGGCAGAAGTAGATAGTTTTGAGACTCTCAGATACCAGAGAGGTGCACTCAGACTTGCGGGAGAGGGCCTTGATATCTTGATTTGCCAGAGGGCCCTTCAATGGTGGCCGAGCTGCAACTTGGTCAACAACCTCAAACTGTCCAGTCAGCTACCCTCCCCAAATGCTCAACTCTACTCCTCAGCCCAACTGTGGCCGCACAGCGGCCTGGATTGGAGAGCAGCGGCAAGCAGCAATATGTAGTACCGGCAACAGTAGGCCACAACAACAGTCCGCTAGTGTACAACAGCGACGGCCAACAGCAATAACAACAGTTACTCAGCAGTCATAGTCCAGAGTAACAATCTGCACAGTCGTCGAGTGCGGTGCGCAACAGCCCTCCCTAAACAATGTGTGCAGACCAACAAGACGCCGGGGGGACACAACAGCCCATGGTACCACCAGCCGCAACTTCAACTGTGAAACCCAATCGCAACAGCCCTTACCGACAAGGCCGCACGCGGCTGAGGGAAGCAACATCACAGCCCCAACAGCTCCCCCAACGGACCGCCTTCGCAGCGATAACCCACCACTTAGTACACCGAACACTGGTCATAGAAGCTAGCCCACACCCGCCTATGATAACACGTGACCACCAGTAGGTGCTTTAACAGAGAGGAGCTCGATAAAACCGGATTCCGATAAGCAACATCGGCCCTTTTTATAGATCTCCACGCTGCAGTAGTAGTAGCCCGCCCCTCTCTCTCTCCGCCTACCTTTTATAGTTCTGCACGTTGTCCTTCCCACTCTCGCCTAGCCCAATCTCGCAGTGTTGGGAACGTTATATCTCCTTTCGAATCTCGAGTCGTGGTCCGCCTTTGCGACCACCGCTACTCACGTGCCAGTTAAGCACGCACTGTCGTGCCGAGAGCCGAAGGTTGCTTCTCTCATCAATGGGCTAGGCAATGCACCAGTCGGTACCGCTGTTTGCCTCGCACTATGCCCCTTAGTAGGATAAAGGTATACGAATGAATCTTCCGCCAAGAAGCGGAAAGATTCATTACCTTTTAAA